ATGCTATGGGTTCCTACGTTTCCAAGAACCAAGGTCGTCTACAGCTATATATATGGATCCAAATTAATTCCTTATTTCCATATTCAGGTGAAAACCTAATTATATGAAATTTTAAACCTAAAAGAATAATTTCATTATTATAAATGTTTCCTTTGAAAATCCATCCTTCAAAAGTTTGAATTCCAGCATTAAAAATCCTATTTAAATAAGCTTTGATCCAAAATTCATCCAGTTCATCATTTATCAACTCATTGTAAAAATATTGATAGATAGGAATTTGATGTCCTATAGTATAACTTCCTTGATAATTATCATTATAGTTTTCCTTTCGTTGATCCAACCTTAAAGGTAAAGTGTTTGGATTTGTTGACAATATAATAGATCCTTCATTTGGTATTCCTTTATGATTAGTCCTTGAATATTCCTCTCCTTTAAGTGAAGAACTATAAGATCCTGATATAATTGTTGAAATATTTTCAAGTTGAACATTATGAACTTCATAATTTTCTATTTCATCAAAATACATTGATAAATAATTTTCCACTAAATTGTAGAGACATTCAGGTGGTTCCTTGTCCTCATCAATTGTTTGATCCAATTGATTTTCCAAAAGATCAAAAGAATATTCAATTTGATCCTCATCAATCAATAATTCCTTTGAAGAAGTTGTTTGACTATCCATAGAGCTTGTTAATTGATCTTCAATATGAATTACTGTTTCATCCAATGAAGATATTATTTGATTTTCCATTGAATTAAATAATTGATCCTCAACATGAGTTGTTGCTTCATTTAAAGAAGATGTGCTATCATTTTCCATAGAGTTGAGCAATTGGTCACTGTTATCCCATTCATTAAAAGCAAACAGTTGATTCAATAATCCCTCCTGTTCAGATTCACTATTAGAGTCAGTTTCACTATCATTATCCTCAGTATCAGATTCATAATCAGATTCAGATTTAGACTCCTGATTATAATTATTTTCAAAAGTCTCCTTTATTTTATTTCTCCTAAATTCCACAGGGATTTTAATTTCCTTATTGTTCCATTCAATAAATATTTCAGATCCTTTGTAATTAATAGATGCATTAACCTTAGAGAGCCAGTCATTTCCTACCAAGGCTTGGTAAGAGTTTGCATCAGTTACAACTACATCCACAGGAATTTCAACATCTCCTATATTGAAAGGAAAGTTTGAAATTTCACTCAATGCCCTTTTACTTTCACCATGAACATTGATCATTTTAATTGTTGAAGACCTTTCAGGTGTTACTTTTAACTTTTTCAATAGCTGCATAGTAACAACACTTCCAGATGATCCACTATCAATAATCAATGGAATTTTTGTACCATACACTGTAGCAGTACAATATAAAGCTGTTGATCCTTGAAAAGCTCCAATATTGACATTCATTTTAGATTTTCTCCTAATAGTCCTCTTTTTGGTCAAACTTTTTGAAAGTTCCTGCCTCATAGTAGGTACCTCCTTCAACAACTGTCCAAAAGTTATATTGGCAGGTTTATTTTGAAGATCAGATACAATTGAATATGGAGTTACCAAGGATGCAATTGCAGGTAATTCATCCTCAACATTCCTTTTCCTGGTTGTGGTCCTTTTAGACTTTTTCCTTTCAACAGTGATACTTTGAGATCCTCCTTCATTAGAAAATGGTAATATTTCATTTTGATTTTCCTGATCCATATTGATTCCTTGTTCATTTTGTTCATTTTCATTATTGTTTTCAAAAGATACCATAGGTTCCTTTCCCTTGCGACTCAAAGGATTTATCCTTTGAGATCTCCTTTTACTTCTTTCAGCAGTGAAGATATGAACATCCTGTTCAGGAATATGAACAAATGTTTCATTTTCATTTTGATTGTTATTTCCAGAACTGGTATTATTTCCAGTATGATTGCTATTTCCAGTATTATTGCTTCCAATATTTTGATTAATTTGATTCATCAAAGCTAACATATTTTGCAACAATTCCTGTTGATTTGGACTGTTATTATTGTTGTTGTTTCCTGCATTATAGTTTTATTTATTTAGAGGACAATTAGCTTTAGTATGTCCTGGTTGATTGCACTTGAAACAAATAATTTGAGATTTGTTGCCATTATTGTTATTATTTTTGTAATTCCTTGGCTTCCTTTGATTGAGTTGTTCAGACATTGTTTTAATAGCTTCAGTCAATTGTAAAATTTGTTCAGCATTGGAAGAAACTGGATTCATGTTCATATTATAACCATAAGAACTTTGAGTATGTGCATGTTCAAATGCCTTTGCCCTTGTATATGCCTCAAATAAAGTATTTGGCATAAATGGAGAAACTGCTGTAGATAACTCAGGCCTTAATCCATTGAGAAAAATATAAGCTTTTGCAGCCTCAGGAAATTGATTTCCTCCTGCTATAACCTTCCTGAATAAATCCTCAATGACCAAATAAAATTGTTCAACAGTTTCAGTAGGCCCTTACTTCCTTTGAGTAAGCTGTGAAAACCATTTTCCTTCCAAAGTTACAGTCCTAAATTGTTCAAGAAAAACTGGTTTAAAGTTTTGAAGTTGTGCCATTTGATCATCCCACCTATTAATAGCTGGATTTCGAGCTCTCCTGTTTATTCACCAGGTAGCAGCAGATCCTTTTAGATAAGGAACAATAATTGGAATTTTCCTTGCATCAGGCACCCTATTTGCCTCAAATACTTGTTCCACCTCCTCCATCCAAGTTACTGGATCCTGCTCTCCACCATAGAAATCAGGATAACTTATCAAATGTATTTCATTTTGAGGTTGAGCAAGATTTACCCTTAATTGTTGAACCAGTTGATTCAAATTGTTTGCAACTCTGTTTAAACCATCATTAGGATTGTTATTTGCTTGATATGCCATGGTTTCCAATAAGAATACAGATAAAAAGAGAAATAAAATTGTATTTTCAAAAGAAGAAAAAAAAAGTTTTTAACAAATAAAAGTGTTTATTCCACACAACTGGTACCAAATTGTTACTGCCTTGGGAGAGCAAAATGAGAAATGCGCCAATTTAGACTTGCAGTGAACAGTGTGTTTCCATAAAATACAAGAAAATAGAAACAGAATAAAGAAAAAGAAAAGAAAAGATTCAAAGAAATA